AACAGGGTAACAGTCAAGTTGCGGTACCCCATTCCCCGCGCCGACGAACTGATCGACCAACTGCGAACAGCACGGGTTTTTTCGAAAATAGATTTTTGGGGAGGTTACCATCAGATTAGGGTCGAACCATCGGACTGCGCCAAAACAGCTTTCAGGACTAGGTACGGGTCGTTCGAGTACACTGTGATGCCATTCGGGCTGACCAACGCACTGGCGACTTTTCAGATGACCATGAACGAGGCGTTTAGGCCGCTTTTAGATAAATGCGTGATCGTTTACCTCGACGACATCCTCGTCTACAGTCGCGACAAGCAACAACACTTAGCAGATCTGGAAGCAGTATTTAAGATTTTAGACGAGCATCGGCTACTGACAAAGGGTTCCAAGTGCGAGTTCTTTCAGGACAGGTTAGAGTTTTTGGGGCACGTTATTTCGGAGGCTGGGATCGAAATTGACCCAAAGAAATTAGACACGGTAAAAGCCTGGCACCCCCTGACGAATCTTACGGAACTGCAGAGTTTCTTAGGGTTCGTAAACTACGTGCGTCGATTCGTCCCCGACATGGCACGGTTGACGGCGCCACTGACGGACTTATTACGAAAGGGGGTCGCTTTTACGTGGGGGGAGAAAGAGCATGCTGCCTTCTCTGCCCTGAAAACTGTTCTCTGTTCACTGCCCGTCCTACGCATTGCTGACCCACACCGCCCATTCGAAGTAGTTACTGACGCCAGCGACATCGCCATCGGAGCCGTACTGCTACAAGACTTCGGCAACGGCCTACAGCCCATCGCATACGAGTCACGAAAACTACATGCGCCCAAAAAAAATTACCCGATACACGACCGCGAAATGCTTGCGATCGTGCACGCGTTCAAAGTGTGGCGCTGTTACTTGACCAGCGCAGACGTGACAGTACGGACAGACCATAAATCACTACAGTACCTCTGCGCACAACCACACCTCAACCCACGACAGATTCGTTGGCTCGACTTCCTCGAGTCAAATTTTCACTACACGGTCACCTACAAAAAGGGAGCCTCGAACATCACCGACGCACTGACCCGCCCCACCGCCCAGATCCACGCAATACTACTCGCCCAGACAAGCCCACTAGTGACAGGCCTATTTACCCACGGGTACCAAACCGACCCATTCTTCACAGGAGGAAATTCGCAGCAGTTCGCAACAGCAAGGGGAGTCTATTACGTAAAAGCCGGGACTGATCGCATTTGGGTGCCTGGGTATACACTGCTACGAGAATTACTGTTACAGGATGCACATGACGGAGTTACCTCGGGGCATTTTGGAGTAGAAAAAACACGGCAGCAGCTGCAGCGGTATTATTACTGGCCCGAAATGTTGACCGACGTACAACGACACGTGGCATCGTGTCCCACTTGTCAGCTTATGAAATCATCAAGGCAGCGGCCGGCAGGACAGTTGCAGCCGATACCACCTCCAGAGCGTGCTTGGCAGCAGGTGACGATGGACTTCGTCACGGGGTTACCGGCCGGGGCGAGTGGGAACGACGCGATCCTGGTCGTCGTCGATCGACTGACGAAAATGGCACATTTCGCAGCCTGCAAAAATTAAATCACAGCCGAAGAAACATCACGACTCTTCGTCTCCACCGTCGTTCGATTGCACGGGATACCAGCAGCAATAATCAGCGACCGCGACACGAAATTCACCAGCAACTTCTGGCGGAACCTGTGGCAGCAGTTCGGCACGCGACTGCAGTTCAGTTCATCATACCACCCCGAAACGGACGGACAGACAGAACGGACAAATCAGACCATGGAACAGCTCATCAGGGCCACGTGCGACGACCCGGCCACGTGGGAACAGCATCTGCCACTCATCGAATTCGCGTACAACAACTCGCCATCCGCCACGACCCAACAGTCACCATTTTACCTAAACTACGGACAAGACCCGACAGTACCCATGACCCCGAATCCCGACAACCCAGTACCACGAGCGCAACAGTTCGCCGAAATATTACAAGCAGCACGGACCCGGGCAGCAGATGCAATAAAAAAATCCAACATCATCGCTAAACGTAACGCCGATCGCCACCGCAGACCTGTCACTTACCAGCCCGACGACCTGGTTTTACTTGACACCCACCCAGAACCTCCGCCTGCCCATCACCCCAAAACTCCGCCTCCGATACTGTGGACCATTTCGCATCAGCCACATGATCACACCTGTCACCGCCCACCTCCTCCTCCCTGCTGACTGGTACGTCAGCCCCTCATTCCACGTCAGCCTGCTTCGCCCTTACGTCCCGTCCACGAGCCAACTGCCACGCACTCGCCCAGCCAGCATGACACGACCACCAACTGAACCAATCATCACCCCCGTAAGAATCCTGAGCCACCGAGTTCGTGACCCTCGAGGAGCCCGAAGGATCGAGTTCCTGATCCGTTGGAAAGACCGTACACCCACCGAAGACAACTGGGTTCCCCTGGACAGAATCGAAAACCACCCCGTCCTCACCGAGTATCCGCGCAGCCGAAACTTCAGGGATGTACACGCACTTTCGTAAGGAGGACCTCCTTAGGGGGGGGGGGGGGTAGTGTAAGGAAAATTCCTTTTCCTTACTTCGCGTCCCCGCTCAGCGCGTACACCACTGTAGCCCCACAGTCAGCACCGTTACCACTCGCAACTCTCGTATCGACAATCCTCCCGCCACCTTCGCACGTCGCACCCCGACCTCACGGCTCGGCGGGTAACCCGCGCTCCGGGCCTCCGCTTCGACACTTTTCCCAACCTCAGTCCCAGGCCCGTCACGCGACAACCACAGCTCATTACCGTTACCACTGTAGTTTCGCTATATATTCTTCGCTCATGCCTTCGCTCATTGTATTCTTGCTTCGATAGTGCAATTCTCGTTTGTTCACTCAATTGCACTCGTAACAGTGTCAAACATAAAACGGTCCCCCCAATTCCACGAAAGACTTTGCCAGTGGGCGACACGGAATTTCTTCTCGAACTCCCCCCAAGCAAGTGCGTCGGCGGTTGACGAATATCCTCGGAGCGCTACGAAAGCCTTCAGTTTCCCCGCACCCGCGCAACCACCCATCCATTTACCTTCCTTCCCCCCTCCTATTGGCCCGTCTTCCCTCCATCCTGAGACAGCTTCCCGGGATATCCCCTCCTCCCTTCCCTCTCCCGCCAGTCAAATCCTACCGCTCTCTCGTTTCTAGCAACCGTTTGCAGACGTTTTAGCTGCCCATTCGGCGACCCACCGTTTATTCTCGAGCACGCCACTCCAGCCTTCATGTCCCTCTTGTTTCTTGGAGTAAAGTTCGACAGAAACTGTGGCAGATTCTGCTCCAGCGGCAACCGTTCCGTTTGGTCCCCCTCGCAGATGGTCTTTGAGAAGACGACGATACACTAACCGGCCGACTGTGTTTGCGCCTGCATTTTTTCCGTCTGGCCACGACCCACAGCCCTTCCGGCCACAGCTTTTCCGCCTACAGTTCTTCCGCAAACAGTTCATTTGTCAACAATTCTGATGTTTCCCTGAACCGAACAGTCTCTCCACCTCACAAATTGGACTTTCAAAAACGGTCACAAGTCGTTTCCTTCGTTTGGACATCCTCCATGATCCAGAGTTCACCCTGTTTGATTCTCGAGTATCTACACACTATTGCTCTGATTCCTCTTCGCGTCCAACAGAATAGCCGTGTCCTTGTATATTTTAGGTGAACTCAACTTTACCGTATACTGTGCAGTGAGCACTATCACTTACGTTTACCTCGCATCATCGCACTGACACTGGGAGGATTGAAAAGCGCCTGCTCTTGTTGAGTCACGAAATCGGCACTGGAGTGGAGGACTTGAGATGTGCTCCCGAATAATGAAACGGCTGGCTTCATCTTTTCATTTTCCCGTCAATGTCGGAAACCGAGATTGACCTCGCACAATCTAGGTCAGAAAGGTTCTAGAAAAAGTTATCGTAGAGTTTTCGTTGACCTTGTACATTTGCGTTCGTAGACAAAAAATAGGACCAGCGGTGCACGCACTGTTCAGCTCAGTTCCCAGGCATTGTCTGGGTCAGAAAGGAGCTTGCGCGTTCCGTATTTATTTATTGATACGGCGACTATAGACGCTAGGCCACGAACACTACTATTAAATTACTGCGCGAGCGCTAGGTTAGGAACCAGTAGGGAACCAGCAGCATGGGCTCGTGCTTGTCGAAGAGCAAGGAGCGGCCGCGTGACGCGTCCAAAGCACCGCCAGCCGGTGCCGACGCAACTCAGACGGCTCCGGCTGCCGTGCACGCGAAGCCGGCAAGTACAGACGAAGTGAAAGCTGCCGGGCCGTCAAGTCCAGGGAAAGGTGGAAATGAGGGTTCAGATGGGGTGGGAGGAGCGGGAGGCGCGGAAGCGGCAGGAACAGCAGGGGGAGCAGCAGAAGGAGCAGGGGCAGCCGCAGGATCAGATGCAAATGCGAGTAGACCAACAGGAACATCAGCGGGGAAAGAAGCGGAAAATAACGCGGGTGCTGCTGCCGCAGTCGACGGAGCCGCGTTACAATTTGCCAAGTACGACAAGAACGACACGACCATCCCGTTAGGGTTGCGAACGGACTTCGGCTATAAACGAGACTTTGAGGCGCACTATAAGCTGGGCAGAGAGCTGGGTCACGGACAATTCGGCACGACGTACGAGTCGATTCAGCTAGCCACCGGCGAGCGGGTGGCAGCGAAAGCGATTGAGAAGAAGCAGGTGCGTTTTAAGCAGGCGTATAATAAAACAGGTGAGTGTAACAAGGCAGGCGTATAATGAGGCAAGCGGTAGAGCGAGAGTGAAAGAAGCAAGTTGGGTCACGGGCAATTCGGCACGACGTACGAGTCGATTCAACTAGCCACGGGCGAGCGAGTGGCAGCGAAAGCGATTGAGAAGAAGCAGGTTGTGTATAACGAAGCACGTGCGTGTAACGACGCAGGCGTATAATGAAGCAGGTGAGTGTAATGAGGCAGGCGTATAATGAAGCAATTCGGCACGACGTACGAGTCGATTCAACTAGCCACAGGCGAGCGGGTGGCAGCGAAAGCGATCGAGAACAAGGAAGTGCGTATAATGAAACAGGTGCGTGTAACGAAGAAGGCGTACAATGAAGCAGGTGCTTGTAACGAAGCAGTTGCGCAGAGCGAGAGTGAAAGGAGCAAGCTGGGTCAATTCAACATTTACCGGCGCGCGATTGGCAGGTGCGTATTCAAAGGAGGTGCTAATAACGAATCATGACGCGAGTGGCATGTGTTTCGACATGTCTCAAAACGACAAAAACAATTAGAGATTAGTAGCATATCGACATGTAACGTCTTTTCCCCCCATAACTCTCCCACCACTCATCTCTCCACCACACCCACAGATGAAGCTGCCTATAGCAGCGGCGGACGTGCGGAGGGAGGTGGCGATAATGAAGCTGCGGTTTCAACACAGTTCTCAAATCCCACTACTCTCTCCGGTCCCCTTCTCCCCCCCCCCCCGTTTCCCCCCCATCCCATTCCCCCCTCTCCCCAACCACCATCTCCCCGCCCACAGATGAAGCTGCCTATAGCAGTGGAGGACGTGCGGAGGGAGGTGGCGATAATGAAGCTGCTGTCGGGCCATCCCAACGTGGTGCAGTTCATTGACGTGTTTGAGGACACCGACTTTGTGTACATCTGCATGGAGTGAGTGCAGTGCATTAGCTGGTACGGAGTGACACTATAGCGGGTATGGTAGTGAGGTGGCGATAATGAAGCTGTCAGGCCATCCCACCGTGGTGCAGTTCATTGACGTGTTTGAGGACACCGACTTTGTCTACATCTGCATGGAGTGAGTGCTTATAGCGGGTATGGAGTGTACTGAGGTGGCGATAATGAAGCTGCTGTCGGGCCATCCCAACGTGGTGCGTTTATCGATGTTTTCGAGGACACCGACTTTGTGTACATCTGCATGGAGTAGACTATAGCGGGTATGGAGTGTAATGAGGTGCAGTTTTGTTAATGTGTTTCAGAACAGCGACTTCGTGTATGTCTGTCTGCATGGAGTGAGTGCATTGTGGCGGATATGACGCATCCTCTCACGTCATTCCCACCGCCCTCCCTTCTTTCCTCCTCTTTTACATTTGATTGCTCCCCTTTCCTCCCTTCTCCGGCCCCTCCTGACCGCTCTTCTCCTCTTCTCCCATCCTCTCCCCCCATCCGCTCACTCTCCCCTCCCTTCCTCCATGGCAGAATCTGTGAGGGTGGCGAACTCCTTGACCGAATCCTTAGCAAGTAAGATTGTAGAACAGAAAAAACTAAGGATATGGAAATTAAGTTAGTGAGAAGTAAACTCAAAAGGGGACCGGAAACGAAGGAAGCACGGCGCGGACGCCGGGGCGGAATGTGAGACAACCAAGGGGAGGGAAGGGCGATGATAGCGGGATGGAGTGGGAATGGGGGGATCAGGGAGTGTGGGTTGGGGCATGGGGGGAGGAATGGAAGTCAGCTGTATTATCCGAAGCATGCATAATGAGCCGTTATGGTTGATTGTGGCATGCTATCTCCTTCACCCTGTCGCTTCCCCTCGCCCTCTCCATCCCCCTCGCCCTCACCCTCACCATCCCCATCCCCATCCCCATCCCCATCCCCCTCGACCCTCCCACTCCCCATCCACACCCCCCTCCCCCTCGCCCTCCCCCTCCCCTTGCCCCCCTCCTCCCTCCCCGACGCCCCCTTGTTTGTACTTGTATGTGTTTTCTTTCCTTCATATGCGAGCAGGCGGGAGAACCGGTATTCAGAGAAGGATGCAGCAGGGGTGGTGCGGCAGATGCTGAGCGTGGTGGCCAAGTGCCATCTGCACGGGGTCGTGCACCGCGACTTAAAGCCCGAGGTGAGAGAGGGACGGGCATGAAAGGGAGAGAAGGAGGGTATGGACGGGTTTGAATCCAGAGAGGCATGAGACGCATACCACCGGATGCTGAGGACTCAAAAATGGCCCAGTGCCACCTGCATGGGGTCGTGCATCATGACTTGAAGCCCGAGGTGCGAGAGAGAGAGGTACAAGGAGAGGCAAGGGGAGGGACGGGCGTGAAGAAAGAGCGACGTAGGGCGCACAACACAATGTCGCTGAGTGGCGTGTCCAAGTGCCACCAAACGCACAGCGTCATTCACCTCCCTGCCTTTTTCCCCCTCCTCCCTTACTCCCCCACCCTTTCCCCCTTCCCCCTCTACCCCTACTCTTCCCGAATATCCTCCACCCCTCTCCCTTCCGCCCGTCTCCCACCTCACTCTTCAGAACTTTCTCTTCAAGTCCAAGGCAGAGGACGCGCTCCTTAAAGCCACCGACTTTGGCCTCTCGGATTTCAGAAAACCCGGTGAGTGCTGCACGTGGGTATGGCAATGCCGGGTGTGTGAGTGCTATTGGCGCATGTGTTCCTTTCTCACAACTCTCCCATCTCCCCTCGTCTTCTTCTCCCTCCACGCAAGCACTTTACAGACCCCCACAACCCCCTTTATCTCTCCTCTTTTTCCCTCCCCAGGCAAACACTTCACAGACGTGGTGGGAAGCGCCTACTACGTCGCACCTGAGGTGCTCAAGCGGCGGTCGGGGCCGGAGAGTGACGTGTGGAGCATCGGGGTTATCACGTACATTCTTCTGTCAGGGAGGCGGCCATTCTGGGATAGAACGGAGGCGGGGATATTCAACGAGGTGAGAGAGGTGGAGAGCGGTGAGGGCTGGTGGAGAGGGGTGAGGGGGATAAAGGAGCTTAAAACCCGCGGGCCAAGAAGTTCAACCTTAGGAAGGTTGGTTGGGGCGAGCAATGCAATTGGCCAAGATTTTGGGTGCCCGGGCCAAACTCAACCGAAGTTAGGAAGGTTGAACCAATGTAGGCCTTCTTGGCCCTCCGGTTTTAAAGCGGCGGTCGGGGCCCGAGAGTGACGTGTGGAGCATCGGGGTCATCACGTACATTCTGCTGTCAGGGAGGCGACCCTTCTGGGATAGAACGGAGGCGGGGATCTTCAATGAGGTGAGGAGGGGAAAGACTTGGGGGGGTGAATGGGAGAGAGTGATGGAGGAGAATGGGGGAGAGTGGTGGGGAGGAATAGGTGGTAGGAGGTGAGAGAGGGAGAGTGACGTGTGGAGAATCGGGGTCATCACGTACATTCTGCTGTCGGGAAGGCGACCTTCTGGGATAGAACGGAGGTGGAGATCTTCAATGAGGTGAGATGAAAGGGAAAGAGCTACAGTGGTGGGAGGGGGTTAAGAGAGAGGGAGAGTGACATGTGGAGCATCGGCGTGATCACGTGCATTCTGCTGTCGGGAAGGCGGCCTTCTGGGATAGAACTCAGGCATGGATATTCAATCAGGTGCTGAAGAAGCGGCTTGACTTCAGGGAGAAGCCATGGCCGCACGCGTCATCCAGTGCCAAGGACTTTGTCCCCGTCACCATGCCTTCCCCTCTCCCCACCACCACTCATCACCACTCATCACAACTCAATACCGCTCCTCACCGTCTCCTAACCGTTCCTTACCGCTCATAACCACCCTTCAGGTGCTGAAGAAGCGGCCTGACTTCAGGGAGAAGCCATGGCCTAATGTGTCGTCCAGCGCCAAGGACTTTGTGAAGAAGCTTCTCAAGAAGGACCCCCGCGCCCGACCCACTGCCGCCCAGGCCTTGTGTGAGTGAGCGCATCCTGTACCAAGTGTGCTTGGTGTGAGGTGAGTGCACTAACCCGCACTGCCAGCGCCAAGGCCTTTGTCAAGAAGCTTCTCAAAAAGGACCCCCGCGCCCGACCCACTGCCGCCCAGGCCTTGTGTGAGTCAACGCGCTGTCTGCAAAATGTGCTTTGTTGCGTGTGAGTTAGCGCATGTGCATCCTTGGGGTGGGGGGACAGAGCACTATCCTGACTACCACCGCCATGCGATTGTAAAGAAGCTTCTCAAGAAGGACCCCCGCTCCTGACCCACTGCCGCACAAGCCTTGTGTGAGTGAACGTGCTGCCTGCTAGATGTGCTGTGTGTGTGTGACTGCATGACCTACTGCCGCCCAAGCATTGTGTGAGTGCCCCAAGCGTTGTGTGAGTGCCCCACTGCCGCCCAAGCCTTGTATGAGTGCCCCACTGCCGCCCAAGCCTTGTATGAGTGCCCCACTGCCGCCCAAGCCTTGTATGAGTGCCCCACTGCCGCCCAAGCCTTGTGTGAGTGCCCCACTGCTGCCCAAGCCTTGTATGAGTGCCCCACTGCCGCCCAAGCCTTGTATGAGTGCCCCACTGCCGCCCAAGCCTTGTGTGAGTGCCCCACTGCTGCCCAAGCCTCGTGGGTGAAGGAGGGAGGCGACATGTCGTCTCATCAGAGCCTCTAGACATTGCATTGCACAGAGGACCTCATCAGAGCCTCTAGACATTGCATTGCACAGAGGACCTCATCAGAGCCTCTAGACATTGCATTGCACAGAGGACCTCATCAGAGCCTCTAGACATTGCATTGCACAGAGGACCTCATCAGAGCCTCTAGACATTGCATTGCACAGAGGACCTCATCAGAGCCTCTAGACATTGCATTGCACAGAGGACCATGCTTTCAAACAGCCCTACACTTTCAGATTAGTAGACTTAGTACTACAGATCGTTACTCTTAGCAGGCTTGCTGCGTTTCGAATCCAACAGATTCCGACCATGCTTTCAAACAGCCCGTGACGGCCTCCCCACTCTCCTGGCCACTTACAATCCTCCCACACCCCCCCACCTTTCAGCACACAAGTGGGTGAAGGAGGGGGGCGATGCTTCGTCAGTCCCGCTGGACATAGCAGTGCTGTCCAACATGCGCGAGTTCGTCAAGTACTCGCGCCTCAAGCAGATGGCGCTCAAGGTGGGCTTGCTGCTTGCTACTTGCTGCTTGCTGTGATGCCGTCATGCCACACTGCTGGTGCGTTGGTTGGGCGAGCCATCCCTCCCTCTTCTTGGGTGTGCTGTCCAACATGCGCGAGTTCGTCAAGTACTCGCGCCTCAAGCAGATGGCGCTCAAGGTGAGATGGGGGATGTCTGTGTGTGTAGCTGATGGGCAGTGCCACACGGCTGGTCTCTCTGGTTCATTGAGCCATCACTCAGACGTCACAGAGTGCTCTCCAACATGCGGGAGATCGTCAAGTACTCGCGCCTCAAGCAGATGGCGCTCAAGGTGAGAGGGGGCACGCACACAGGCAAGCACACAAAAGCAGGCACACATGCAAGCACGCACACCGTCAGGCAGGTGTGGTGTTGAAGGCGAGAGGGATCATCCCCCATGTCCCGCTGGACATAGCAGTGCTGTCCAACATGCGCGAGTTCGTCAAGTACTCTCGCCTCAAGCAGATGGCGCTCAAGGTATGAGCGCGGGCACGCACGCTCGTAGGCACGCAGGCAGGCGGGCAGGCAGGCAGGTGAAGAGGGGGCATGCAGGCAGGCAGGTGAAGAGGGGGCAGGCAGGCAGGCAGGTGAAGAGGGGGCAGGCAGGCAGGCAGGTGAAGAGGGGGCATGCAGGCAGGCAGGCAGGTGAAGAGGGGGCAGGCAGGCAGGCAGGCAGGTGACGAGGGGGCAGGCAGGCAGGCAGGCAGGTGAAGAGGGGGCAGGCAGGCAGGCAGGCAGGTGAAGAGGGGGCATGCAGGCAGGCAGGCAGGTGAAGAGGGGGCATGCAGGCAGGCAGGCAGGTGAAGAGGGGGCAGGCAGGCAGGCAGGTGAAGAGGGGGCATGCAGGCAGGCAGGCAGGTGAAGAGGGGGCATGCAGGCAGGCAGGCAGGTGAAGAGGGGGCATGCAGGCAGGCAGGCAGGTGAAGAGGGGGCATGCAGGCAGGCAGGCAGGTGAAGAAGGGGCAGGCAGGCAGGCAGGTGAAGAGGGGGCAGGCAGGCAGGCAGGTGAAGAGGGGGCAGGCAGAAGTGCAGGTTTTGAAGGACCATCTCAACTCAGTCAGTTGGTCCACTTGAGCAGCAATGGACTTTTCTGCCCTGCTCAATCCCCGGCTTCTTCCTTCCTGCTCGCCATCCCCGCCACCCAACACACCCTCGCCCACGCTCTCCCTTCTCTGCCTTCCCACAGGCCCTTGCGACAACACTGGAGGAGAATGAGGTGCAGGCGTTGAGGGATCAGTTCAACGCGATGGACATTAACAAGGATGGTACCATCACGATTGATGAGATCAGACAGGTGAGGGGGGCGATGGGGAGAGGGAATGGAAGGTGGGAGGTTAAGGAGAGAGGGGAGAAACGGGGACCAGGGGGTCAGATGAAAGGAAGAAGCTGAGATGGCAGGCGCTGAGGCACCATTTCAATGCGATGGATATCAACAAGGATGGCACCATCACGATCGATGAGATCAGACAGGTGAGGGGGGGGAGGAGGGATGGAGGGAGATGAGGGATGGGAACGAGGGATGAGGAGAAGTGAGTGGAGAGTGGGTGGGTGGGTTTAGGGCTGGGGTGGGCTAAAAGGTGTGTTTTGAGGCGCCTCAAAACACACCTCAATGCACGCGGTTTAGGGCTGGGGTGGGCCAAGGGCTGGAGGTGCAGGCATTGAGAGACCAGTTCAATGCGATGGACATTAACAAGGATGGCACCATCACGGTCGATGAGATCAGACAGGTGAGGGGGTAGGGAGGAGGAAAATGGGGGAATCGTGAGAGGGGGGAAGACTAGCGAGATGGGAGTGATTTTTGAGAATTCTCAGGAATCGTGAGAGGGGGGAAGACCAGCGAGATTTAAATGCTATTCTGGTCTCTTCTCTTCCCTTCCTCTGTTTCCCTCGTCCCCCCCCCCCCCCCCCCCCCCCTCTTTTCGTTGTCATACATTGAGTCACAGCCCCCACCATTTGAAGTGAAGGAGTCAACCTCCTGTATCTCTCCCCCCCCTCTCCTCTTCACAGATCCCAGCCCCTCCCCTTTCTCTCCCTACCCTCTTTTTCCCTCCCCCTTCTCTCCCTCCCCTCTCCCTCCCCTTCTCGCCGTCCCCACTTTCTTCCCCACCCCTTCTTTCCCTCCCCTCTTTCTCTCTCCCCTTTCTCTCCCTTCTCTTCCGTTCCCTCTTTCTATTTATCACCTTCATCAGGCACTGCGTGTAGTGAGTCGATTTTTGAGTCGACTCAAAATTCCCTCTTTCTATTTATCCCCTTCATCAGGCACTGAATCAGGCCCTTTGTCTTTTCCCCCCTTCCCTCCTCTCTTTCCTTCTCTCTTTTCTTGCCCCTCCCCATCTCAGGCACTAAGTCACGACCTGCCATTTGAAGTGAAGGAGTCGAGAGTGCTGCAGATCCTCCAAGCGGTGAGCACCCCTAATGTGATAGATGATAAAAGCCTAGCCTCTCAAAGCCAATGCGTTCCGTGGTTTGAGGCATGAGACACCTCAGAAGGAGTCTTCCGTGCTGCAAATTCTCCAAGCGAGGGCTTACTGCATTCCCTCAGACCCCGTTTGGAGAACACCCGGATTTGGGACTCCCTTTTTGAGACGCCTCAGTGCCTCTGTCGTTTGCGTGGCCTTGCGAATCCTCCAACCATCCCTGCCCCCCGTTTCCCCCCTCAGATGGACACCAACTGCGATGGGATTATTGATTTCGACGAGTTCGTGGCAGCAACGCTGCACGTGCACAGCAGCTAGAGGAGGCCGAATCCACCAAGTGGCAGGAGCATCCCATAAGCCTCATTTCTTCCCCCTCTCCATCCACCCTGCCCCCAGATGGACACCAACTGTGACGGGATTATTGACTTTGATGAATTTGTGGCAGCAACGCTGCACGTGCAGCAGCTGGAGGAGGCCGACTCCACCAAGTGGCAGGAGCGCTCGCGAGCCGCATTCGCCCAGTTTGACCGCGACAACGACGGGTACATCGATGCGGAGGAGCTGAGGATGGTAAGTAAGGGGTTGTGTGCGGTACAGGTAGGTTCCATCTTATCTCAGGAGGCCGACTCCACCAAGTGGCAGGAGCGCTCGCGAGCGGCTTTTGCCAAGTTTGACCGCGAGAACGATGGTTACATCGACGCTGAGGAGCTTCGCATGGTGAGGATGTGTTGAGTGCGGTACAGTTAGGTCTCATCCTGGTTGTCAGCAGCCTTTCAGTTTGACCGCGCAACGACGGGTACATCGACGCTGAGGAGCTGCGCATGGTGAGAGACTGCCGACTTGTTAACGGGTATTCAAGTCCAACGGCAACGGCTCAACGGCTGACATTTTAGTGCTGACCCCGACAACGGCAGGTACACGATGCAGAGGAGCTGCGAGTGATAAGTGGCTTACAAGTAACTGTATTAAGGTCTCAGTGCTTCACACATTCTTTCCCCCCCGGCCTGCTCCTGCCTCTCCATAGCACTGGTAGGGGCTAAGCTTTCCCCAGTTCATGTTAACAAATGCAAGCACATCTGTGTTTCTCCTTTCCCATATTTTACCACCTTGTCAATACACCAGGCTGCCCAAGTTAATTTTCCGTTGGATAACCTGATAGCAGAAGCCGACACGGACGGGGATGGCAGAATCAGCCTGCCCGAGTTCCAGAAGCTACTAAGATGTGCAAGCATCAATTCCCGCACCAACACATCTCGCTCCCGGGGTCGATCATGGCTTGGCCAAACCATTGACGAGTGATAAGCTGTTGGGCAAGGAACTTCACATCAGATATGGATTGCTGTGAGGGCAGGATGTGTTGCCGACGCATGAACTAATCTTGCTACAGGTCCATATACCTAGAAGACTAACACTTATGGTTTGTGTTAGGTCAGTAGAAGTTAATCTCTTTAGCTTATGACGGAATTACCTCGAGTAGCTGTTTCGGCATATGGGGCTTCTCTTGGGCCGACACTTTTCCTTACGGAGGTTGGGATTTTTCCCCCACTTGTCCAGAAGTCTGGGTCACGTTCGAGAAAGATTCGATTGGCTAGAAACTAGGCTAGTTCTGCTGATTGGCAGTTGGGATTCAAACGGAACTATTTTAGCTGACCGGGCATCTGATTGATGTTCCAGTTGCAGGCATGGGATTTACTCTACACAAAATGCACTCAGCGATTGAACTGGCACTTCAACCTTGTTACCATCAATCTTGTCGCGAAGGCTAATCCGCACTGGACGAAGCGCAAATTATTTCGCCAACTCTTTTCGTGAATGTACCTGATCACCAACACCTGCGCTTTTGTTTTGTACGTCCCGTACGATTCCTTTTTTCCCCCCTAAGGTTTTCTGGAGCTAAAATGTTTCCGCCATGGCTGCCGACCTATTAGGTTCTGCCACATCCCATCCACAAGTCTTTGTTTTGTGATTCCTGATGCCCTAGAAACCCGAATTTTGCGCTTCATCTGGCAGCCATGGCTGCCACGCGGCGCGTCGTGAACTCGACTTCGGAAATCCATGGACTCCAGTAATGTCGCATTAGCGCGATTCACTGGTTACACTACCATGCACGCCATTCGCGAGGACCGGGTACTGCGAATCACGTTTTCATCCGTTCCTGATGCACGAATAGTGCCGTGGATTCGTATGTCATCCCAGCTGCTACGAAGTTAGTATCAGGAGAACCATTCATGGCCGTCAAGTTCTGAGACGTCTGATCAGTCGGCACCATCCCCCTCCATTTCATTTTACTTAATTCCTCTCGTTCTCTCTCCTCGTTAGACAGGTAGCAGCGAAAGCGAGAGAGAGTCTCACAGGACCAGCAGCCGTTGCCATGGCTGCGTCAGTGTCTCGTTCCGCCAGCGCCGCGCCGTTGATTTGGTCAGCAGCGAGAATGTTCAAGCCTAAAGCACGGACACGATTCTCGCACACGTCGCACGCGTCGCACGCGTCGCACGCGTCCCCTCGTGTGCTCTCGCAGCAGCAGCAGCAGCAGCAGCAGCAGCACCGTCGCGGCGTGTCGAATCAGCAAGTCGCATCGATTCGCGGTCCCCTCTCAAGCCTCTCACCAGCACCTCCGCTCCACGGGAATCAGACTTTTTTTCCTCGCTGCCCGTTCGAACACCGGGCAGGCTCCGCGCGACTTTCTCCTACCCGTTTTCGAGAAATCATAAAAACACCTCCCTGCCAGCTCCAAGGTTGTTGGTTCCCCACCAAAAGCAGGAGCTCTCAGGGATTCGCAGCTGCACCGAAACGTCGGGCTTGCTTATAACGGGGACGCTTGTACCTGGGCGCGAGGGCCGGCGCGCGCAGGCGTGCTAATATCCGATGTCACAGTAGCGCAGGCGCTGGTGGTGCAGATGGCGTTCGCGCTGGGGATTTGGTGACTAATGCGGGGGAGGGAGAGACGAAGGCGAGAGGGATTGGTCATGGGCATGAGGAGAGGCCGGATGATCATGGGCATGGGCACGGCCATGAAAATGGGCATGGGCATACGAGCCATGCACATGCTCAGAGTGCTGTTGCCATTGATACGCACAACCATGAGCATGAGGAGGATCGCCATGAGCATAAGCACCATCGTGAGCATCAGGATCAGCACACGGAGAATCATGATCATGATCATGAGCATCATGGCCATGCACATAGCCATGCCCACGACCGTAGCAACCATGCGCATCATGAGCATCATGAGCATCATGAGCACACGCACTCACATGCCCCCGAAGCACATGCGTCCCATCATAAACACCATCATCAAGGCGAGCAGCAACCCCATGCCCATGACCATGACCATGACCATGACCATGACCATGACCATGACCATGACCATGACCATGACCATGACCATGACCATGCCCATGCCCATGCCCATGCCCATGCCGATAACAACCACAGCCATAACAACCATGCCCATGCCCACCATGCGCATGACCATGCCCACAGCCATAACGACACCCATGACCATGCCCACAACCACAGTCATGCCCATACCCACTCCCATGACCATGACCATGACCATGACCATGACCATGACCATGACCATGACCATGACCATGACCATGACCATGCACATGCGCATGACCACAGTCATGCCCATGCCCACTCCCACGACCATTCCCACAGCCACGGCCACCACCATCACCACCACCACTGCTGCCCATCGCCCACCACCCTCAACGCAGCCCAGCGCGCCCTCCTCTCGCTCTTCTCCTTCCTCCGCCTCGCCCCTCTGGCCGACCGCATGAGGGAGAGCGCGCCCCTCGCCTCTCTCTCCCTCGCGCTCTGCCTTGCTGCCTACGCTGTGCCGCTGCTTGTGCCGCTCGTTGTCCAGATGCAATCCCAGCCGTTGGTGGTGCAGATGCTGCAGACGGGGCTTGTTGCTGCAGCTTTCCCTCTCACTGCTGTAAGCTGCTCTCTGTACCTTTAATCTCCTCCCACAATTCTACAATTCTGCAATCACAATCTCACTCTCCTGGTAAATGGTTTTGCGCTCTCTCTCACTTCTGCAAGCGCACGTCTCTCTTATCTCCCAATGTCTCGTGTATGAAGATTTATTTTGAGACGTCTCAAAATAAGTCTTCTGCAAGCGCACGTGTCTCTTATCTCCCAATGTCTCTCTCTTGGTGAATGCACTGTGCAATGCACAGACCTTTCTCCCACCGTCCCACTACCTTTGTGAATTAACAACGTATTAACCGCATCTCACCCTTCTCCACCCACCTCAGATCCCAGCAACCATGGATGCATTACTGGACATAGCAGGCGGGTCGGTGAACATCCAGTGCTCAGGACTGTTGCAGCACTGGCGTCACGTGCTCTGCTGTTTCTGGTCTCAGCTGCTCTCTTTTTCCTCCCTTCGCTTTCCACCCTCCGTCCCAGATCCCAGCAACCATGGATGCATTGGTGGACATAGCAGGCGGGTCAGTGAACATCCATGTGCTCATGACCGTGGCAGCACTGTCGGCATGTGCGCTGCTTTTCCTGGTTTCAGCTGCTTCCCGTTTCCTCCCAATCCCCACGCGACCAGATCCCAGCAACCATGGATGCACTAGTGGACATAGCAGGCGGGGCAGTGAACATACATGTGCTCATGACCGTTCCCCACCCACAGCCACACTTTCTGCATGAATGAACACACTCTCTCTTCTCCCTCTCCACACTTTCCTTCCCTACCAGATCCCAGCAACCATGGATGCATTGGTGGATATAGCAGGCGGGGCAGTGAACATCCACGTGCTCATGACCGTCGCAGCATTGGCATCAGCGGCCATGGGGAATGCACTCGAGGGCACTCTGCTGCTCGCTATGTTCTCCATCTCCCATATAGGTGCGCTTCGATACCCCACATAGGTGTGCCTCGTTTACCCATATAGGTGTGCCGTACAGGTGCGCCTCCATTGCCCATACAGGGGGGCCGGGGTGAACAGCAGCGGAGCACCTATATGGGAGATGGAGACCATGGCGTCAGCGGTCACGGGGAATACACTCGAGGGTACTTTTGAGTCGACTCAAAAGTCAACTCATTGCCCATACAGGGGGTGCGGGGTGAACAGCAGCGCTGGCGTCAGTGGCCATGGGGAATGCACTCGAAGGCACTCTGCTGCTCGCCATGGTCTCCATCTCCCATATAGGTGCGCTGCCATCTCCCATCCCCCTTCCTCGTTCTGCTTCTAGAATTAGTGCAAAAACGTTACCACCTGATTTTGCCTCGACTCAAAACTTACCACCCTTACCACAAGCTCGTAACGATCCTCCACCACAGCAAAGATGTGAGGGTTGGGCAAGCCAGCACGTAACCACAAGCCCGCCCGCCCGTCCAACCCTCACATCTACTCACCCATCCACCAGCGGAGCATTATTTCACAGAGAAGGCTGTCTTCGACCTTCGCTCCCTGCAGGACAACAACCCCTCCCCTGCTCTCCTCATCCACCCCTCCCCCTTCCCTTCCGTTACCCCTCCCCCGCCCCCCCCTTCGTCCCCACTTCTACCCATCCACCAGCGGAGCATTATTTCACGGAGAAGGCACTGGGCGACCTGCGCTCCCTGCAGGACAACAACCCTTCCACTGCTCTGCTCATCGATCCCTCGTGCCTCTTCCCTTACCATGACCAATCCTCTTTTCCACCCACCCACCAGCGGAGCATTATTTCACCGAAAAGGCTCTGGGCGACCTTCGCTCCCTGCAGGACAACAACCCTTCCACTGCTCTGCTCATCGATCCCTCGTGCCTCTCTTCTGTCGGTGCTTCTACTGCTGCTGCTGCTTCTGAAAACGGTGCCAGTGGCGGCAGCAACAGCAGCATCAGCAACGGCAGCAGCAACGGCAGCAGCAGCAGCAGCAGCAGCAGCAGCAGCGGCGACGGTGGGAGCGAAAGGAGAGAAGGCGGGGTGGTGTTTCCGGGTCTGGCTGCCCTCTCCTGGTCCGAAGTGCCTGTAGCAGATGTGCCGGTGGGGGCTATGGTGCTGGTCAAAGCGGGCGAGGTGAGTGCTACGGGTGAAAGAGGTGAAAGGGAGACAGACTAGTGCATGTGTCTATGTGCCTCAGAACGATTTGACTGCTCTTTCATGGTCCAAAGTGCCGTTAGCAGATGTGCCTGTGGGAAATATGGTGCTGTTCAAAGCAGGAGAGGTGAGTGAGTGCTGCCCTACCGTCTAGAGGGACGACCTGGGGACTCCGTTCTAACCCAACAACAACCAACCCCTCCCCTCCTCCTCCTCCTCCTCCTGCTGCCCTAAGTTTCCCTTTATCTCCCCTCCCCCTCTCAGGTGGTCCCTCTAGACGGCACCGTTCGCTTCAGCCGCTCCCTCGTCACCGCCGAGCACCTCATGGGGTGATATGCACGAAGCACCCCACTAGAAGGCCATTGCTCCCCCTCTCCTCGTCTCTTCTCCCCCATCGCATTCCTCCACCCATCAGGTGGTCCCTCTAGACGGCACCGTTCGCTTCGGCCGCTCCCTCGTCACCGCAGAGCACCTCACAGGCACCTACCTTTCTCTTCCTTCCCTGCTGCTCTGCTCTTTCATATTTTCCCCCCACCCTTCAGGTCGTCCCCCTAGATGGCACCGTCCGCTTCGGCCGTTCCCTAGTCACCACAGAGCGCCTCACCAGGTGATATGTAGTGGGTGTTATTTATTCACTTCCTTCCCCCTTTGCTGCTGCTGCTGCTCCTTCCCTTTTCATCAGGTGGTCCCTCTAGACGGCACCGTTCGCTTCGGCCGCTCCCTCGTCACCGCAGAGCACCTCATGGGGTGATATGCACCAAGCACCCCACTAGAAGGCCATTGCTCCCCCTCTCCTCGTCTCTTCTCCCCCATCTCATTCCTCCACCCATCAGGTGGTCCCTCTAGACGGCACCGTCCGCTTCGGCCGCTCCCTCGTCACCACAGAGCACCTCACCGGCGAAGCCCACCCTGTCGAGAAGCTTCCCGGAAACACCCTCCCGGGCGGCTCGCACACCGTCGACGGCTTCCTCGTCGTGGAAACTTCCCGGAAATGGTCCGAGTCCACCGTGGCTCGCATAATGCAGCTCACAGAGCAAGCCAGGTCCCAAAAACCGCCTCTCCAACGCTGGCTGGATAAATTCTCCGAGAAATACAGTCAAGCCGTGGTGGGATTGTCGGTGGGAGTGGCTGTGCTAGGCCCTGTGTTGTTCGGATGGCCGTTGCTCAGCTCGCCAGGGGTGCGGGGGTCACTGTATCGGGCACTGGCAGTGATGGTGGCGGCGTCGCCCTGTGCCCTCGCTGTTGCTCCGCTCGCCTACTTCTGTGCTCTCACTGCCTGTGCAGCCAAGGTGAGTTCCTAGAAACACTCCGGGGATTTTTTGAGAATTCTAAAAAATACCTTGTCGGTGGGACTGGCTGTGCTAGGCCCGGTGCTGTTCGGCTGGCCGTTTTTGAGCTCGCCAGGGGTGAGGGGGTCACTGTACCGGGCGTTAGCAGTGATGGTGGCGGCATCTCCCTGTGCTCTTGCTGTCGCTCCCCTCGCGTACTTCTGTGCTTTGACAGCATGCGTGGGCAAGGTGAGACTCTCTAGAAGTCCTAGCAGCTCTAGAAGTCGTGTTGAGCTCGCCAGGGGTGAGGGGGTCACTGTACCGGGCACTGGCAGACTGGCAGTGATGGTGGCGGCGTCCCCCTGTGCTCTAGCTGTTGCTCCCCTCGCCTACTTCTGTGCTTTGACGGCATGTGCGCGCAAGGTGAGACGACTCTAGAATCTCTGGAAGGGCGGGCGGCCATGCCTTGGACGCCACAGCATCAGCAATACGTTGGGATATGTTTCTAGTTAGCTCATACCGTCTTCCCTGCTCCCTCTCTACTTTACTCCCGTCTTCCCCCGCTCAGGGCATTCTACTGAAGGGCGGCCATGCCCTGGACGCCACAGCAGCGTGCGACACAGTGGCGTTTGACAAGACCGGCACGCTCACCACCGGCCAACTCGCCCTGCGCTTCATCCAACCTCTGCACTCCCACGCACCGCACACCACTCCCTCCCTCCTCACCCCCTCCTCCCCCGTCCCTCCCTCCGACTCCACACCTTCCTCTCCCTCCTCCTCCACCTCCTCTCCCTTCTCTTCCTCCTCCTCATCCGCCTCTTCCTCGTCCTCCTCTCCTAATTTCGTTGAAAGCGAGAAATTCTGGGAAGACTGTGCAATGGAGGGGACAGGGGGAGTGCGCAGACACAGTCACGAGTGGGAGGAGACAGGAGTGGTGGTGGAGTGCAGCAGTGCAAGCTGTGAGGCAGAGGCGCTCGCAGTGGCTGCTGCACTCGAGCAAGCAGCCACGCACCCCATTGCCAGGTGCGTTCGGCTGGGCGTTGAATGGGTGAGTGTGGGAATGTTGAGTCGTGTCAAGGCTCGACAGGCGTGGTGGTGGAGTGCAGCAGTGCGAGCTGTGAGGCGGAGGCGCTGGCAGTGGCTGCTGCTCTCGAGTAAGCCGCCACGCACCCAATTGCCAGGTGCGTTGGGTGTGGGTGTAGGGGTTTTCAGTCGTGTCAAAACTCGACAGGCGTGGTGGTAGAAAGTTGATTTTTGAGACGTCTCAAAAATCAACTTTCTACACTAGGGGTTTTGAGTCGTGTCAAAACTCGACAGGCGTGGTGGTGGAGTGCCGCAGTGCGAGCAAGCCGTGTCAAGACTGGACAGGCACTGAGTTTGAGACGTCTCAAAACGCAAGACTGGACAGGCACTGAGTTTGAGACGTCTCAAAACGCAAGACTGGACAGGCACTGAGTTTGAGACGTCTCAAAACGCAAGACTGGACAGGCACTGAGTTTGAGACGTCTCAAAACGCAAGACTGGACAGGCACTGAGTTTGAGACGTCTCAAAACGCAAGACTGGACAGACAGGCACTGGGAGGGAGTCGCTGCTGCTCTCAAGCAAACAGCTATGCACCCCATAATGATATAAGGTGCATCAGCTGGTGCTGGGGCGAGGGCTTACCCCGCTCCCAGTATGAAGAAGTGTTTTGAGACGTCGCAAAACACTTCTTCATACATATCTGCTGCTCTCGAGCAAGCAGCTATGCACCCCATAATGATATAAGGTGCATCAAAAGGTGCATCAGCTGGTGCCGGGGCGAGGGCTTACCCCGCTCCCCTTTCGGACTCCCTGCTCTTTTTCCCCACTCTTCCCCACCCCCACCACCAACAGGGCGCTACAAGAGGATGCAGACAGCAGGCGAGCTACTCTGACCGGAGTGAGCGTGGATCAGCTGCTGTGCCGGGGCGAGGACTCACATCCCAGCCGTTGCCAACACCCCCTTCCCTTCTCGTCCCCCTTCTTCCTTCCCCCCTTCACAGGGCGCTACAAGAGGATGCAGACAGCAGGCGAGCTACTCTGACTGGAGTGAGTGTGGATCAGTTGTAGTTGGTGCCGGGGCAAGGACTCACCCCCCTCTTTTCCCCCTCTTCCCCCCTCTACCTCGTTTCTCGTGCGTCCCCACTCTCTCCCAACAGGGCCCTACAGGAATATGCGGACACCAGAAGAGCTACTCTCACAGGAGTGAGCGTGGATCAGCTGCAGCTGGTGCCGGGGCGAAAGCTCACTCACTCCCCTCTGTTTCTGCTCTTTTTCCCCCGTGTTCTCCCTGACAGGGCCCTACAGGAATATGCGGACACCAGGAGAGCTACTCTCACAGGAGTGAGCGTGGATCAGCTGCAGCTGGTGCCGGGGCGAAAGCTCACTCACTCCCCTCTGTTTCTGCTCTTTTTCCCCCGTGTTCTCCCTGACAGGGCCCTACAGGAATATGCGGACACCAGGAGAGCTACTCTCACAGGAGTGAGCGTGGATCAGCTGCAGCTGGTGCCGGGGCGAAAGCTCACTCACTCCCCTCTGTTTCTGCTCTTTTTCCCCCGTGTTCTCCCTGACAGGGCCCTACAGGAATATGCGGACACCAGGAGAGCTACTCTCACAGGAGTGAGCGTGGATCAGCTGCAGCTGGTGCCGGGGCGAAAGCTCACTCACTCCCCTCTGTTTCTGCTCTTTTTCCCCCGTGTTCTCCCTGACAGGGCCCTACGGGAATACGCGGACACCAGGAGAGCCTCTCTCACGGGGGTGAATGTCGATCAGCTGCAGCTGGTGCCGGGGCGAGGGCTCAACCCCCCCTCTTTCCGCCCGCTCCCCTTCTCTCCCACTTCCCACCTTCACAGGGCCCTACAGGAATACGCGGACAGCAGGAGAGCTACTCTCACGGGGGTGAGCGTGGATCAGCTGCAGCTGGTGCCGGGGCGAGGGCTCACAGCTACCATCTCTAGCTTGCCTGGCGAGGTGAAAATGGGTGCACTGCGGTGCAGTGTGGTGTGAAGGTTTTTTGTAAATTGTAGTGGGGTGCAGTGCGGTGTTGGTTGAGTGAAAGGGATGTGGATCAGCTGCAGCTGGTGCCCGGGCGAGGGCTCACAGCCACCATTTCCAGCATGCCTGGCGAGGTGCGTGATACGATACGGATGGATGTAGTGCGGTGCGCTGCGGTGCAGTGCGGTGTGAAGGTATGCTGTGACTTGTAGTGCAGTGTGGTGCTGATTGAGTTAATGGTTGAGTTTATTCTACTTTTGATTTTATTCTACTTTCGCATTAATTCTACTCTTGCGTTTATTCTACTTTGATTTTGTTTTACTTTTTGCGATTATTGTACTCTTGCGTATATTCTACTTTTGCCTCCCTACACCGATTCATCACCCATCATCACCACTCTCCACCACCTCATGACTGTGGATACTCTTTCCTCCCTTCACTTTGCTCCCCCACCCTCCACCTTTCTTGGCCAATCATAGAGCGACAGGTGGGGCCCGCACGAGGCTCGCATTGGCTCCCTGGATTTCATTGCTGAGGTGGCAGAGGATCGTTGGGCGAGCAGAGCAGCAGCAGGAACAGTACAGGGTGGTGATGGGTTTGACAGAGATAAGGCAGCACGAGCATCAGGAGCAGCAGCAGCAGACACACCATCAGTATCCCAGTCAAACCCACCACCACCCCCAACTCTCCCGCCAAGCGACCTAATCCGAGCAGCTTTGGCAGTGGGGCAAAAGGTAACCCTCTTTCACTTCGAAGATCAGCTTCGGCCCGGAGCTAAGGAAGTGGTTCGGCAGCTGCAGCAGCAGGGGGGGCTGAGAGTCCAAATGCTCACTGGGGACCATGCAGCTTCGGCACACAGGGTAGCAGCAGCGGTGGGGATAGAGGGAGGGGAAGTTGAGGCGGGGTTGAGACCGGAAGATAAGCTGAGGGCGGTTGAGGAGATGACTGGGAGGATGGGGAGGGAGGGGAGGGGAGGCGTGCTGATGGTGGGGGATGGGATCAACGACGCGCCTGCTCTGGCTGCTGCCACGGTAAGTGTTTTGTCAAACTCGTGCAGCCCACTCCACTGTACGCCGGTTATATTGAAATCACTTCTGAGAATTCTCAAAAGTGGTTTCAATATCTCTGGCTGCTGTGCTGCCACGGTAAGGGTGTCAAACTCGTGCAGCCCACTGTACGACCCACTGTAGATGGGTCTTTTGGGGCTCTTGCACAGAGCATTCACAGAGGGTTCAGAACTATACTGTGAACGCTCTGCCATCCATGCGCCTCTTGTATATTTCGTTCACATAACTTATGCTGTAGGGTTCTCCTTTTGCTATCTTCAAGCCCCATCTGTGCTCCCTTCTCTGCTCCCTTCTCTGCTCCCTTCCTGCTGCTCAAATTCATCTCACACCTGCCTGGAAACTGATATGTCACAATTGAGTTCGTGTCACCCTTTCTCGATCCACATTTTTGTCACAATCTTTTCTGTCACACACGGTCGGTTGGGGTGGTGCTGGCAGCGCGAGCGAGAGCATCAGCAGTGGCAGCAGCAGACGTGCTTCTGACAAAAGGACCCTCTGTGAATGCTCTACATTCATTTTTGTCACGCATGGCAGGTTGGGGTGGTGCTGGCAGAGCGAGCGAGTGCAACAGCAGTGGCAGCAGCAGACGTGCTTCTATTGAAGGACAATATCTCAGAGCTCCCGTTCCTAGTAGCCAAGGCTCGGCAAACCACCCTCATTGTAAGAACAGCATTTTTCCTCACGAACACACACACACAGACTTAGATGATTAACATTTCTCTATTGAACACCATGCTCATGTGAGGTACCGGTATTGAGCCTATGGGACTGAAGTGGCATATGAGTTTACTCAAAGACACGAAGTTGCTGAGTGTGCTCGTCCCTGCCCTTTCCTCCAACCCCATCCTTGTGTTTGCCCTTGCCTTTGCCCTTGCGCACACCAGGTGAAGCAGAGCGTGGCTCTTGCACTGACTTACATTCTGCTCGCACTCCTCCCCGCCATTCCTTCCCTCCCTCTGTTTCCCTTTGCCTGTGCTCCTCCCGTCCCTTTCCTCCAACCCCATCCTTGCCCTCCTCCACACCAGGTGAAGCAGAGCGTGGCTCTCGCACTCACATGCATTCTGCTCGCACTCCTCCCCGCCATTCCTTCCCTCCCTCTGTTTCCCTTTGCCTGTGCTCCTCCCGTCCCTTTCCTCCAACCCCATCCTTGCCCTCCTCCACACCAGGTGAAGCAGAGCGTGGCTCTCGCACTCACATGCATTCTGCTCGCACTCCTCCCCGCCCTTCTGGGGCACATGCCTCTCTGGCTCACGGTGTGTGCAGTTGGGTGGGCTGGGGTGGATTGCGGTGGATATGGGTGGGTTCGGGTGGGGTACGATTCGATTCTAAACACTTTTTGGATGCATACCTTCCTGGCTCGTGGGGCAGGGTGTGTTCTAAATACAACTCGAAACACTTCTCAGCACTTGTGTTCCACAGGGTGATATGCTTCGTGTTTTGAATCAACTCAATCAGCACGCTCAACCCGGCACCTCTTCGCCGCCCCGGCCTCACATCTCCCCTGCTCCCCTCTCCTTGTTCTGGTTACACCTCAGGTGTTGCTTCATGAGGGTGGTACCCTTTCAATTTGCCTCAACTCAATCAGAGCACTCACCCCGGCGCCTCTTCACCACCCCGACCTCACATCTCCCCTGCTCCCCTCTCCTTCTTCCCACTTGTTCTCGTTACAAATGCTACCTCAGGTGTTGCTTCACGAAGGTGGTACGCTTCTAGTTTGCCTCAACTCTATTAGAGCGCTCAACCCGGCGCCTCTTCGCCGCCCCGGCCTCACATCGCGCTTGCTGCAGCGAGCCCAATTGCTGCTGCAGAGGCTGGTGGGTCAGCAGGATGCTAGTACCATCGGTAATGGAGCAGCTGCTAAGGGGGGTGTTCCCACAGCAGGAACGCCTTAATTATGCTACCGTATGAGGTGACTTCAAACAAGTTACAGCATCCTTGCTCAGAGGAAAATTCTGGTGCAGATGTTATTCCTTAATGGTAAAATTGGTGCTCTCTGAATTCTGCTTGCAACAACACCACGTAATGACGTTTATATCTTTGGCACACCCAAAGCCACTGTTTCATGTTCCGAAGTGTGGCACTTGATTGTTCATACTTTCCCATCCCAGCCGTCAAAACGAAAATGCAAATTAGTTCCTGCCTGTCATCAGTACTGTACCACAATCACATTCCAATCCAAGGTAGCACACAGCATATATCAGCAAGGCCAAAACCTTTATTAACCCACCAAATTTTCACATTCAAGCTGTTTGTATCACCAACTACAACTACAAAAAGGCAGTAGCCACTGCCATGCGCTGTTGCGTGCCGAACCTAAACGCCGGATTCAAAAACCGAGGTAAAAAATTCCACCAAAAATAATCAACTGTTCTGGCCCTTAAGGTTAACATAACAAAAATTAGACAGTGTAGGATTGCTGGATGGTATCCACGTCGATGTTCTTGAGCTTCACAATGTTGTCCACATGACCCTTGAGCGTCAAACCCTCCCGCAGCCTGGAACACAAGTTAACACCACGAGAAGACATGGCGCAGTAAATTAGGACCAGTAACTTATGAGAAAAAGAAGGCCACCTTCTTCCCAACCTGTCTCTTCAATGGAGATAAATGGTAAGGATTTTTGGCAAGGCTTCTTACCTGGCGATTTCTGCACGACGGCGAGCAGCCTCAGCTGCATCAGCTCCACCAGCAGTGCCGAGCACAGCCAGGACCGTGGGAGCCTCGTCAGCAGCAACGGTCTGGAGCCCAGTGAGGGTTCGCTGTGCCGTGGCCCACCGTGCCTGCCTCTCCTCGATACCAAAGTTGGCCTTCTTGGTGAACGTGACCCTGTTCTCTGTAAGCAGATCCCAGGCCTTGCCAGAGAGCATGTAGGAGACGGCAAATTTGATGAAGTCCAGAGGGATGTATGTCACCAGGCTGTACAAGGGGGAGCCACATGATAGGAACACAGGGTACAGGAGGTTTCAGATGAAGAGCAATCTATGAGGGTACATGAGGTTCCAGAGCTTTGTACAGACATAAACACACAGCAATGGAGGTCAGAAAAGGTTCAACTGCCGGAAAAGGTTAACTGCAGGGAAGGGACTTGGTACGCATTGGATGTGTGTTGGATGGTGCACAGAACACACACCTGTAGAGCCAGACGATACCGGCCCATCCCCAGCCGCATCCCATGATGTAAGTGAAGCCCCAGTTGGCATACACTGCAAGGAAGGTGGCAATCTGCATGTACACATCCAACATCCCCCGCATCATACAAATGCCACACGATTCATCATCATCCGCACCAACCGAATCAGCACCACCATCATCATCACCCAGCACCACACATGCAACAAATGTGAAAAAAAAAAGAGTTGAATGCTCTCTTTGCCTTTTTCTTTCACCTGCTTCTCCCCTCTTCATTTTCACCTCACATCTCCTTACTTCCACTTTAATCTCTACTTTCTTTGCGCAAATCAAGCAGATTTGTAATCTTCTCACCCCCTTGTCCGTCCCCTTTCATCTCTTTTCTTGCACAAGTCCAACCAACATCAAGAGAACCAAACCACGTACCAGCTGAGCGACAACGAAGGCCACCATGAGCAGAAGGCCAGGGCGTTCGAGGAAGGAGAAGCTCTGGGAGCGAGTGACAAAGATGAGCGCCTGGGAGATGATGGAGACTTGCAGGTAGAGCGCAGACATGAGCTTCATCTGTGACTCAGTGAGTTCCCCGTTGGGATCAGCATTGGGGGGTTTCTGAAGAGACTCCACACCAAAGGTTCGCTGCATGGTATCAAGGGTAGGATAAAACAGTAGAGAACAAGTCAGGAATACAGGGGAGCGGGTGTGGGGGGGGGAAGTAGCAGGTGTTGATCCGAAGGACAAAGGGTTGATGGAGGCATGACTAAAGGGCATGAAAAATGGCAGGTGGGTGAATGGGCATGGAGTGGGAGGGAAAGGGGGGGAGGGGGCGGGGGAGGGAGGGGGTGGGTGGGGAAGGGACGGGAAGGTGAGAGCAAGAGAGACTGAGAATGGTGTACACACCAGCTTGCTCTCTTACCTCAAAGAAGTTTGTTTCGTAGGCAGCCCAGAAGAAGACAACACTCATAATTCCTAGGTAGGACCCAAACGCCACGCCCTGGCAAAAGATTTCCGAGAGCTTCCAGCTGTCCGGGGTTGGCGACGGAAGGACCCTATCCTTGGAGATGGTCATGATGGTGCCTGGCAGAACAGGTGGTTGCATCAGGGGGAGGAGCCAGAAGGAGGGATGAGGGAGGAGAGGTGGAAGGAGGCGGGGAGTTGGAGAGTGAGGGGAAGGGAGTGGGGGGTAGGGAGGAGGGAAAATGGAGGTGAATACAGAATACGAGTGAGAATGGGAGAAAATGGAACAAGAACAGGAATGAGCTCCTTAGAAAAAAGGTGGGGTGAGCATTGAGGATACATTGCTCCTTGAGCATCAAAGCATTGAGCAATGAGTTTTCACTGAATAAAGGGGAGCATACCGTCATTGAGGATGGCGATGATAAGAACCATGAAGGGGGCGAAGTCGAACTTCCAGATGAGAGCGATGAGCATGAAGCCAAGCTGCAAGGACAGATAATTGTGAAAGATCAATTGAAGGAACAGAAAGCATGGAAAATGTTCAGTGGCAAACTTGGAACCACCCATACATACACACCCACACACCCCTCCCCCCCACACAAAACGTTGCTCAGTAGCCTGGTAAAGGGGAATTTGGCAAACGTACCACAATACGGATGGTGATGGAGATGGCATAGATCTGCAGACGCAAAAAATATCACGGGAAGGCAACAGAATCAGGAAGTGAAGGGGGAGGACATGTAAGTGGAAGCCAGTCAATGACACAATAAGTTACTAACAACCTTCACAGAAACCTTCATCCAATCAGAACTTTTTAAAAAATGCCAACTCGTGCACTCACGGTGTAGTTCTTCATGCGCTGGAAGATGCAACGGCTGGTGAGAACCGCATGGATGATAACGCTGAGACCAGGCTCCGTGAGGACAATATCCGAAGCACTTCGAGCAGCATCTGTGGAGTCGTCCACGGCAATACCGATGTCTGCCTTCTTGAGAGCAGGGGCGTCGTTCACACCGTCACCAGTCATGCCCACGATGTGCTTCTTCTTTTGCAGCTGGTTCACAATCTCATACTTGTGCTCTGCAAAAAGAGCAGGAATGTTTAAAAACTTTCATTACAATATCTGTGACTTCTGCTTTCATTTGTTTTGCCAATTCAATGCAGAAAATACTGAAACTGAAACGTGATAACCCACCTGGGAAGACGCCGGCAAACCCGTCGGCCTTCTCAATAAGGTCTGCCACGTCGACGCCAATCAAGGAGGCATCCTTTCCTTGGCCCAGAAGCGCAGAGGATGGGTACATGTTCGTTCCCATGCCTAGACGCCGGCCTGTCTCCTTGCCAATGGCGAGCTGATCACCTGCAAAATTAAGATGCCAGGCTAGTTAGCATGGATATTCCACTTGCATAGTCAACTCATGCATCAGAATCAACAGCAGCATACCAGAACATCATCAGAAATAAAGTCAAACACACTCTTCTACGTCTCAGTGCTAAGGGCATGCCCAGTAGGTTCTCGAGTTACTTATGACAATATGTTTTTCCAAACATCTCTAGTCCTTTGAGACGTACCAGTAATCATCTTCACGTTCACGCCAAGCTTCAGGGCCTCTTTGATGGTCTCTGCACTGTCATGGCGAGGAGGGTCGAACAATGGAAGGAGGCCTACCATCTCCCACGGACCACCAGCCGCGTCCTTGACGCCTTCAGGGACTTCCTGCAATGAACAATTGGCGAGACGGGGTAGAACGTCAATCAGCAACAGCACAAGTGCACCAATACCGCCGAAGGAAGATTACACGTAACACAAAAATTGCACTGTCATCTTGAAGTTCTAAAACAAATCAAAAAGAGGTATTTTATGCTCACCTGGCGAGCAACGCCGAGAGACCGAAGACCACGTTCAGCGAACCCAGCAATTGTGGCATGCACGCGAGCAGCGATCTCATTCTTGTTATAGGCGAGGTCGAGGATCTGCTCAGGCGCACCCTTCGACGCCCTGTACATTTTGCCATCAGGCGTCGTGTAGGTGATTTGCGTGCGCTTGTCCACAGGGTTGAAGGGGAAAAAGTGGACCTCCGTGATACCCTCCCGAGCCTGCACAAGCGCAATGCAGATATGGTTACAACATAAAACTTATTTCCCAGGGCGAATGGACTTGTTGAACGCGGAACAGCGATGACAGACACTCACCTCCTTGGGGTCAGCAAGCATTCCCACAATGCAAGCGTCAATGGCGTCTTGGTTCTCTGTGCGAGCAGCACGCGCAGCCAGCAGGAGAACAAGGTCTTGATCCGCGTCCTTGGAATAGACCTGCACACAGCAGCGGTATGACAAGGGTTTAAGCTTTAATACAACCCTAATGCATTACGATTTCCGGAAATCGCTACTTACCTCGATAATTGACTTGTCAACGGTCAGCTTGTTGAGCGTCAGTGTACCAGTCTTGTCACTGCACAGAATGTCCATGCCAGCCATCTCCTCAATAGCGGTCATACGCTTCGTAATGGCTCCCTGCAATGCGAACACAGGAGCTTTAGAACGCGTTTAAAACCCCTCGCGAAGCTATTCGTTGCAACTGATCAGGGTCGTCACCTGTTGCGAGAGCTTGTGCGAGCCAATCGCCATCGTCACCGAAAGCACCGTGGGCATGGCGATTGGAATGCCACCAATGAGCAACACGAGCAAGTTGTCAATGCCATCGCGATAGCTACGCTTCTGGATCGGCCACATGACGATGATTTCGATCACGATTCCAACGGCGATGGCTCCGATGCAGAAGTTTCCAATGGCACGAAGCACCTGAGAATGGTCACACGCGGGCAGGTTAGGTACTGGAACGACCAGCTTGGCCAAGTTTTGCATGGAAAACGGTATGTCTGCGGTTTAGGCGGTTCATGAACGTTTCGATGTGTTTCTTCACCTTCTGGAAGTGACCCTCGTTGTTCGTGTTCTCCACGAGGTTCGCGGCCTTCCCGAAAAACGTGTGCACGCCAGTGGCAATGACGACCGCCTCGATCTCGCCTTGCTTGCAAGTCGATCCGGAGTAAACTCCGTCGCCAGGACCTTTCGTCACAGGCAGCGACTCGCCAGTAAGCGCGGACTGAATCAAGGCAGATCATGTCAGCGTAAGCTATTTGCGAAGTGCAAGACAGGCTGAACTGAGAGTTCAGAAACAGCTTCCTAGGAGCATTAGCTTACACACCTGATCGATTTTCAAAGCATCTCCCTCCAACAGACGAGCGTCGGCAGGAATGATGTCGCCGAGCTTGACGGAGACAATATCTCCAGGAACGAGCTCCGCAGCATCAATTTCGCCCCAAGACTTGTCACGGTAAGCCTGCAACTCGAGATGTTACGAAATTAATAGCTGAATAATCGACGAAGCCAGAAAACCCAAGAAACGCGGAAAGTAGCACACCTTGGCTTTCGGAGCAAGTCGAGCCATCAGCGCAGCGGCGGCATTGCCAGCATTATTTTCTTCAATGAACGAAATGGTAGAGTTGACCAGGAGAAGAACAATAATACCGACGAAATCGTACCAATCGGGCGGTTTTCCCTGGAAAGGATAAACAAGCAGTACTGGATGAGATCATGATCACGACGGAACAGCAAGGACACAAATAGAGAGAAACTTACTCCTCCATTTGCTAGAGCGATAGCCATAATGGCTGCAGCTTCCATGACCCATGAAAGCGGGTTCCACATAAAACCAAGAAACTTCAATATCTTGCTCTCCTGCGATGAGAAAACACACAATTATGTCAGTACGTGTATCAAATCAGGTTAACGCCATAACCAGCTGCGAGAATACCGAGGATCGAGGAACTAAAAACGCACCTTCTTCTCCTCGAGCTTGTTATACCCGAAAATCCTCAATCGCTCTTCGACCTGTGCTGACGTCAGCCCTTCTTTCGTGCAACGGAGTTGCTCAAATACCTCCTCCATTGGACAGTCTTCCTGAAAACCATAGTTCAATCAACAAGAGTTTCCTTACACACACTACGGGTCACAAAAAGAACGTGCAAGAACGCGAAACTCAAACAAGCAACAGCTACGGACCAGATTAACGAGCTCCTTATTGACATCCTCCAGCGTGGTGCCATCGTCGGCCATCTTCTCGGGAGTAGGGAAGGCAAGGCGTTGTGGAAGCTCTGCTGCAGCAGAACCACCAACACCTAGGACTCTGACAAGCAGACGGACTGGGAAACTTGTCGACTGAAGCTCACAGGCAGACTATCTCACTCCAGGGACAAACACCAATACTCGGACCAATGCAACTTCAGTCAGTCAAGAAGTTAGTTTGCACTCTGGGAAACTAGGTGATAAGGGAGGTCTAGGGGGGAAAGGTGGGGTAGGGGGCAGTGAGTGTGCGCGTGGAGCTCGGGGGTTTCGATCTGCGAAAATGGCATGTAGTCACGAATTAGCGAAGAAATCTTGTAACTTCAGGTCTGTGGAACTTGGCTTGAAGATGTCGTGACAATCTCGAGGCGTGCGTTCTGCGCGCCGACCAGCAGCACGAACGCTGCGAAACATCGTTTTGCGAACGTCGCATTCGCACCACATCCAATCAACCAAGTGCCATGCCATTTTACAGCGATCCCCCTCATCACGCCGCACAGAAGCCTTTCAATGAAACCCATGGCAACCCTGATTGAACCGTATCCGATGCCTGCAAAATATTCGACAACTCAAACAAACAAACCTCTGAGTACGGGCACGCAATTGGACGTTGACGTGTGTGAGAGAAAGCTAACACTGGCCGCAAAGGTAAGAAACTATGGCTCTGATTGGTTGTCAGAACCCACAAACCCTGACTGCAAGGTGAAGCACCAACGGGCTCATTGCCACGTGGGAACCAAAAGTTCCACAAGCTCAAGTACGCCGTGATTGCCTCTTATTACTCGTTATTAGCATGATGTATTTCTAATAGTGGTTGGGAGCATGTCCTAGGAGTATTTGGAGAAGCTGGAATACCATGCCCACTCTTTAGTTACGTAAACTGCAAGCATAGTTGTTGACGCACACGGCGTTATACAATGTTTCGCAACACTTGAAGATGCACAAGGACATCATTAACTGATATCGCAAGACATGAAGGAGTGGGGGTGAGTGTTTGATGTCGACGTCGGTTGTTGAGATTATATAATGCAGGGCTCGTTGAAGGTCGAACACAATCCCCTTTATGGCGTTCAGGGAACTGCGTGAGCTGGCTGACAATGTAAGAGAGATCGGGCCTGCAGGTGATTGCCGCGAAAAGCATGCAAACAAGTTGTTAATATAATCAATGAAACGTGTGTTATGACTTTTGTCTCATGAGAACCCTTAAGCACATTAAGTTGGTTGACGGTATGGGTGCTGGTAATGTCGATGTGCCGGCGCACCATGGGAGCCTGATTGGTGGCGGGTGGGTGGTGGATTCGTGCATGGTGTGGTGGGTGGTGGCAAGTAGGGAACGATGGGTCGAACAACAAGGCTTGGACAATCTGGGGCGAGGCTGTAGAGGGCAGCGCCCAATTAGGGTTGATGGGATTGCCCCTCCCACCCACCCTCCTCATGTGTCAAATCATATATATCTGTAGGCTGTAGTGGGGTAGCCAATATGGGGTATAGCCTCTTTAGGGTTTCATACTTGCACCAAACTTTGACCTAGTTCATTCATTCCTACTTGCTATCTTGACATGGTTTCAGAGCAGTCGGTCCGTAGGACCGTTTTTTTTTTTTTTTTTTTCTGGGCCCACCATACTTAGCTTCCGACTGCAGTTACTGCGTTACGGCCTGCCTCGCGTCGCGTCGCCCTGCCTCGCGTCGCCCTGCGCCAGCGCCCTGCCCTGCGCCAGAGTCCTGCCCTGCGCGAGAGCCCTGCCCTGCGCCAGCGCCCTGCCCTGCACCGGCGCCCTGCCCTGTGCCAGTGCCCTGCCCTGTGCCTGCGCCCTGCCCTACGCCCGCGCTGCAGCCCTACGCGTCGCGCCCTACGCGTCGCGCCCTACGGCAGCCCGCGCGTCGTGCACTGCTGCCCCGCGCGTCGCGCCCTACGGCAGCGCACGAGTCGCACACTGCTGCCTCGCGCGTCGCGCTCTGATGCAGCCCGCGCGTCGCGCCCTAAGGCAGCTCGTCGCGTCGCGCTCTGCTGCCCCTCGTGTCACGCACTGCTGCAGCCTGCGCTACCGCCCTGCCCTGCGCCAACACCCTGCCCTGCGCACGCTGGCGCCCTGCCCTGCGCCAGCGCCCTGCCCTGCGCCAGCGCCCTGCCTTGCGCCAGCGCCCTGCCGTGCGCGGGCTCGCGCCCTGCCCTGCGCCAGCGCCCTGCACTGCGCCAGCGCTCTGCTAAACCCTAAATAAAATTATATATATATATATATAAACCCTAGGTGCTTCTGCCCTATGAGCTACTGCCTGCTACTGCCCTGCTCTGGCCGCGCGCCGCCCTGCTTTGGCCGCGCGCCGCCCTGCCCTACCCTAGTGCCTCCTCGCCGCCCTTCTTGCCCTGCGAGCTGCCCTGCTATTCGCATGACTTCCCTTCACGGTAGCGGTGGGAGTGGTGGTGGCGGTGGCGGCAGCAGTGGGAGTGGTGGCGGCCTCAGTACCAGTCGCTTTGGAGCTGTTCGGTGGGGAGTTTCTGGCGGTGGCCAGATGCAGTTGCAGCGACGTTCGAGCGAGACCCTTACGCCCCAGCAGCTTCGTGAGTGGTATGCCCGTAGGTGTCGTGGCGGTGGCCGTAGTGGCAGTCGCGGTGCAGCTAGTCGGTTGGGAGTTTCTGGCGGTGGCCTGGTGCAGCTGCAGCCGCGTCCGCGTGAGACCCTTACGCCCCAGCAGTTTCGTGAGTGGTACGCTCAGTGTGGGGGGTCTTTGAGTAGTGCTCGCTGCCAATACGTCATTCGCACAGGTGATCGAGCTGGTCAGACATGCGGGACACCTGGCCACACACAGTCCAGCTGCTTTTCCTGTCTGAGCGACACCTGGCGTGCACAGTTTGGCGACGCGGCTGAGCTCCCCCGCTGGCTAGAGCTACTTAGGCAGGGCGTCGATGTCTTTGCGCTAGACTATGACGCCATCCTTACTGCCATGTATGCATTGACTAGTAGTGCCGAGGGTGACTGCTACTTGTGTATGCCGCCTGACCCAGGTATAGAGTCTGCAGCCCTAGGTGCTAGTGAGTCTGTTCTCCCTGGTACTGCGTCCGCTCAGGCCTTGCACACCTTTACACTTGACTCTGGTGCTTCCCGCTGTTTCTTTCGCGACAGTACCACAGTCACTCCCCTTCCTGCACCTGTCCCTGTCTCACTGGCTGACCCCTCTGGGGGCCCAGTGCTAGCACGGTCCACTACTGTGCTTCCGTTTCCGGCGGTCTCGTCTGGTGAGCTGTCTGGTCTCCACCTCCCCTCGTTCTCTACGAACCTTCAGAGCAACGCCGTCCTTCAGGATCATTGGATTGACACCTTTACTCCTGGAGGACAGCGTGTGGCGATTTGCACGTGCTCTCGGACTAGCCGCCA